ATCTAGTTGAGAATTGAAAATGCATCAATCAGTCAATCGGAAAATTTATGAAATTTATTATAAGGAAAATAGTGAGGGATTCCTCAAAGGTCAATATAATAAAATTTGTAATGTCTGTCAAAAAATGTTATTTGCTAGAGGCCTCTGACATGGGTGAACGTTACCACCCACTATTCGAACTCCGATCTCGCACGCCTAGAGTAAAACCAACGATATTATCTACGCTTCCACGCCTATTAGGTTGTGTTTTTTGAACTTGCGTGAGGTCAACGAAATAAATTGATTTAAAAAGTTTGCAGAGGACAAAACATTTTTTTCAACATTGGCAAACAGTATGATCATAGAACGTTTAGAATAATAAATCTTATAAATAAATCATAAAACGACCGCTAAGATCCACTTCGTAATCAAATATACACATGCAGCAAACTCGAGAATAGTAAAATGAACAAATATCTCCAGCGTGAAGTTACCTCAAGCACTTTGCTTATAATGAACAATTAAACGAAGTAAATTTCTGGTAAAAATATTATTTAGAACTCTATTCATCATGTGTGGGTTCTTTTGCGGCTATTTCATTTTCCGGTAGATCTGAATTTTACAACTTACAGCGAGCATACGCTGGGATATATTGTGTGCTGCGAATTAAATTGTTTTTCTTCATGCTAAATCCACCGCAAATTTGTGATTAGCTTCACCAAAACTGATTCCTATAGAACATTAATTTTTTAATTGAAAGCTGTGTATTTTTATTCAACTACGTACATTTTCAGGAAGCTTAAAGCATAAATTGGGACCTTGAATCACAAATTAAAAAATGATAAGCCTATACAACGGGACGGCACTTTTTGCCGGTCACGGTGACGCGCGCGCAGAATTAAGGTGTGAGTTTCTTCGGCCCGTTGCAGTCGTGAGATGTCATCGTTTTGGATCACGGCAATCTGATCGAAAAACACAGTCGTTTTTTTCTATGACCTTTAAAAATCACATGATGTAAAACTTTAGCCATTTCTGCGCCTTGTAAGTGAAATTTTGTTCATGAAATAAGCTGGTGTGTTTTAGAAAATCAAGTAGGGAAAATACCGGCGAGTTATTGTGCATTCCTACAAAACTTGTCAATGTTGATGAAGTTTTTTCCCACATTTTGTTAACTTTTTCAAGACAGAACAAATAGTCTACTTCTCTGAGTAAAAACCTCAAAAATAATTTATTATGAATTTTGCGAGGTAGATTGGTGATTAGATAAACGTTTTGGAATGATCTTAGAAATTTTAGCGTCGCCAAGTTTATATTGAAGAGCATTTTCCCACTTCGTAAATCCAATTATCTTCCTCCAATTAAATTATTACCCGAGTTTGCATCCACAATAAATAATTTTAAGGAGTTTACTTAATTAAATTTGGTTACAATTTTCAAGTCCCCTTTGTCCTGTGGCCATTCATTACATCATTGCAAATTTTCACCACGTTTTAATATTGAATCGGCGACAAGCCTATCCAGGCCTATTCTTCAATGCCAAAGATACTATACTATAATAATGAAATAATTGACCTTTTAACTACTTTTCAAGCCGATCTGTAATATTCATTAGTTACTCATCAAAGTACGCACGGCTTCCCGTTTTCTTCAAAGCGGACCACGCCCGAGCGACTCCACCAAAGGTGACCTAGATAACCTGGAGGAATGTTAGAGCTTACGAGCATTCGTGGGCATAATTACTTAGCCTTCGCGCACATGAAGGTGTTATGTTATACCTCATGCTTCAGATCTACATTTTACCCCATGTTTCACATATGCGTTTTACCTCACCCCTCTGGTCAATGTTTTACCTCAAGCTTCAGATCTACATTTTCCCCCGTGTTTCTGATATGTGTTTTACCTCACGCTTCAGGTCAGCGTTTTACCTCAAGCTTCATATCTACATTTTACCACATGTTTCTGATATATGTTTTACCGTACCCCTCTGGTCAATGTTTTACCTCATGCTTCAGATCTACATTTTACCCCATGCTTCTGATATATATTTTATCTCACGCTTCAGGTCAATGTTTTACCTCAAGCTTCAGATCTACATTTTACCCCATGTTTCAGATATACGTTTTACCTCATGCTTCAGATCAATGTTTTACCTCAAGCTTCAGATATACATTTTACCCCATGTTCCTGATATACGTTTTACCTCACGCTTCTGGTCAATGTTTTACCTCATGCTTCAAATCTACATTTTCCCCCGTGTTTCTGATATACGTTTTACCTAACGCTTCAGGTCGATGTTTTACTTCGTAATTCAGATCTACAGAACGTAGGTCCAAAATTGTCATGAACGTGCATATCTTGAGCATATGGTAAAACGTTCAAAAGTTTCGTGAATGTTTTCAATTATATTTTTGAAATGCAGAGGCTCTATACAGGCACAGCTATGCAGAATGTATCTAAAAAACTTTCAAAAATAATTTGTGACTAAGAGATGACGGTTGTTGCTGCATTAGAGTTGATATAGATTGAATAAATATTTTATACGTGATTTTGAGCCAAATTACGCGGGAAAATCATTTTTAGTTACTGATAAACGGTTTCGAAATAGTTTCCAAATTAAATTTTTACCTATGCTTTTTTCGTGCAGTCATAGGTAATTGGAGTTTGCTGCCACTTTACGAGCTGGAAAAGTCAATATTAGAAACGAAAATAAATAATGAAATTTGCACGAATGTGTTTCCCCAATTCAGGCAAAAATACCTCCACCAACCCCTATTGATACTTATGTTGATTTTTACATGATGACAGTTGTCCTGTACTTTTGTTCTTACAGATGATGGATGTAATGTCATTATGGCTTTAGGTAATGATTGAAACAAAAGTTAAACGAAAACATTACAAGTAACTGCGATAGTTCCTCAAACTAAAAAAGTCTACGGAAGTTTGCCAAACGTTTTTAGGTTCTGGTATGCGATTCAGAATCATTATAAATTTGAAGCAGTGCAAGTTCACTTTACAAGTGACTTACGTGTACTGATGAAAGACAATAAGTTTAATTTTAAATGTACATGGAAGATCATTTTAAACACATATTAATTTGTTACAAATAAACGAAGGGATGTTATAATATGAGAATGAGCCAAAGTGACTCTTGCATATAAATAACAAATTATAGATACATATGTTAATTGCTATCATTCTTAAAATAATAATATCGTTGAATGACTAATAAAATATCAATTATTAGGCGAATGGTCCTGAGAGACAGAAACGTTGCGTCTGGCGCACGACTTTCACTGTCGGCGAGCGGTTCATTGCCAAGGCTGCGCTGCGGACGAATGCTGCTGCTGCTGCTGCTGCTGCTGATGCTGCTGCTACTGCTGCTGCTGCTGCTGCTGCTGCAGCTGCTGCTGCTGCTGCTGCTGCTGCTGCTGCTGCTGCTGCTGCTGCTGCTGCGTACAGCTGACTACACCAGCAGCAACAGCTACACCAGCAGCAACAACTACACCAGCAGCAACAACTACACCAGCAGCAACAACTACACCAGCAGCAACAACTACATCAACAGCAACAACTACACCAGCAACAACAACTTCATAAAAAACAACTGCAATGAAAACTGAAGCAACCACACCAACAGTAAATAACAACCCCAACAGCAAAAACACCAGCAGCAGCAGCAGGCAGTTTAAGTGTCAACATGTTTAACATTGCAAAATAAAGTGCATATGTACCCACCCTGCCCGACGTTCGATGCTTCACAACAAAGCTAAGTTGTTAACTACTTAATTGCGTTTAATGGAACCATTTAGACGTAATACTACCAGTTCATGATCCCGTAAAGTGTCTGGTGTCGTAATGCTACCAGTTCATGCTCCCTTGCAAAGTGTCTGGACGAGGTTCTGCCAGAAGTCATAATTTAAAACTCACAAAGGAATAAGGGAGATGCAATGCTATGTGCTTTCTCTGTCTTGTCAATAATAAAATGTGAGGGAAGTTTATTGTGATAAAATTGTTATGTAGCTCAATTTAGGAGGAAATGTTTATTTAGGTTTTCAATTCGAACGCTGCGAAGTGAATCGGTAAACGTGATCCAAAATTGTTATTTTCCAAGAAATTCCGAAATTTTATTTTGCTGTTATATAAATATATATTTTTTTGCCCGGAAGAATTAGACTCGATATAAAGTGGATCAGAGATTTCGTTTCTACCACCTGAAATTATGTTGACTTATTGTTAATGATTAAATGAGAGCTAGAAAATCTTTGAAGTTAGTAAATGCGAAAAAAATCAAGTCGTTACCTACATTTATGTTATCCTCAATGTCGTATCAGTTGATTTATCGGTTACTGAAAATTCTTCCGGAAAATCTTCACAGAGACATCAATTTTTTATTAAAAATTACCTTATTAAATGCATCCAAAATATAATAATTTTTTTATAAACGAATATATTTTTATACCTAACTACTAATCTATGGAACTCTTGAAACATAACTTAAATTACGTTATTTTTTTGCAACGAAAGTTTGCATTCATCTGACATGTCATGATGAAAGATTTCTTATACGTATCTCTCATGATAAGAAAATTCATAATTGTAAAACACGAGAAAAAAATTTCTACAAATAAAAAATTAAAATAATATTTTCATCGCACCATGAAATTTTCAGGAGTGAGGTATGGTGTCAAATTTCACAGTAAATTCAATCGAAAACCTTCGAAAGCGTCAAGAATCTTTTTCTTTGTCGTAGCATACTTAAAACACGGACTATTTACTGAAGGAATCGTGGTCTCAAAATGCTTACAGGAATCAAAGATAAATTTATTCGGCAGTTCATTCATTTTTGTTTCATTTTTTTACCTACATGGAATTTTTGCATGGAATGTAGAAATTCAGTATAATAGTTTTAGGAGGATACACCATACAATAAATTGTATACCGACTTACCTTGCTGCCCATGATCGATTCAGTATAATAGTTTTAGGAGGATACACCATACAATAAATTGTATACCAACTCACCTTGCTGCCCATGATCGTAGGACGTCTCTTACAAGTCTGGGCCACCTGCGAAAAAAAATCGAACTTCCGTCAGATGAGCAACTGAGTTGAACTTTAAACTATAGTTAACCTAGATAAAACTTGGGTGAGTGATAGATAATTGACTTACTGCATGGGTGTGTTTATGATGTGACTTTTTACTCTCACTCTCTCTCTCTCTCTCTCTCTCTCTCTCTCTCTATTATTCACTTTCTCACTCAATTTTCGCGCTCTCCTATTGTATTTCTTTCTCTCTTGTTCAAGATGCTTGGTGAAACATCGTTAAGCAAACAATCACTATGAATAAATAAAGTTTAACTATCTTAACGTTTCTCTGATTGTGGTTTATGGAGTAGGTCACTTTGCATCTGGTCAGTGATATTTGGCAAGTCTTATCATAAGAGCCAGTTTTTTTTTGGTTCTTGCTATCAGGTAACAATTATTCTAAGATGGTTCAATAAGGCTGCCCGACTGCTGTAGTGACTCACTAACCTTTCAGCAATAAATAATCTTGTCAACGGTAATTTATAAAGAAGTTTCTCTTCTTAGTTACTCCGTACGCATTTTAAACAACTCGAATAACTGGAATTTTAATTGCAATATTGGCATTTGCTACTTGGAAAATTACATCCTAACCAATTTTTTTGAGAGTAAAAATCTTATGGGAAATACAGTCAACATAACAATCAATTTTTCCAAACTAAAATTACCAATAAATCTTTAGGAAGAGAAAAGGTTCCCTCTTACTTCCTTACTTCCCTTCTTATTCCCTCTTCCTTACTTAAAAGGTTCCCTCTTCTCGGAAATAATACTTAATAAGCTTCAAGATGTAAATGAGAAGTGGCTGTTATCCAGGCGTCAATATAATTGAATATTTCGTTATATCCGCGTCATTAGGAAAAGCATTGCAGGTATAGGAATCACCTCGACTGCAAAGCAAGAGCGGCGTATTCTTTGCATGCAGACGATTAAGTAAAAGGTTCTTGACATGTTTATTCAGATGCAGCTCTTAAATTCCAGGTTTTATTCTGGAAGCGATCACTTTTTCGTTACTTGAACTCTGACTGCGGCATCGATTTTGTGTACAGCAGATTGAACGTTGAGAAAACAGTCTGGGATGCTTTGTGTGCGCGGCTTCAGGAAGTTGACATTTAAAATAAAACAAAAACTGGTGATGATCGTCAAAGCCATCACACGCTGGATGCAGAGCTCGACTTATTATCGTCCTGAAGGTCTGGCATCTGCCATACAAAGTCGTTTGTGTGCGTGCGAGTTTTTGCTTTCGAACGAAGGGATTATTGAGGGCAACTGTATAATCAAGCACCGAAAATTAGGGTTTAAATCCACAGCTTGTGCTAATTGAATACTTATTTTTAAATACTTTATCGGTCATTGATAAATTTCAAGGTAGTAAAAATTCTTTGTAAAAAATTGAGGTTCAAATTATTAAAAATAATTTAATTAGATTAAATTTAATTAGTTTAATTTATTCTAATTTAAATTAACTTATTATTAGTTTAGAAAGTTTCGTGTCTGTCCATCAAGATGAATTCATATGAAGAAATGCCATAAATTTAGATATTTTGTACATGCCTGTCGACGGCGACCCGATGAATCAATGTCGCCAAAGATAAATTATTGAAGTCCAATGATTAAAAAATAAAGACAATCACGGGCCTTGACGAGGGGTTGGTAAAAATTAATGTCTGGGAGAAGTTTGGAAACTTTGGACGTCGTTAGTCTCGAATTTCAATGCTTGATCGAAAGAAAACTTCTTTGCGCACAAGTACGTATAGAGAACTCAGGTAGTTCGTCAGATACTGCACCATATTTATCGGCCAGTATATTTGATTTATCAAGAAACAATTTATCATTGATCACTTAACTACGTAATTCCATCACTTAATTTATCACATAATTACATCGCTATATATACAGACGTCAACTCCCTTGACTTGATATATGAATTACATTGTAAACGGTTGGTGCCTCTGATCAGAAACACGGATGAGAAGAGCCTAAAGCTACTGAACGAATTAAAATGAAAAATTTTGAGTTTTAATTTAAACGCAGAAAATAATCACGCAAACTAGTGAAAGCTGAAATACGACACCTATATTATTCCATCGAATAATTGATGATCCACCGAATATTGGCCTATACTTAATAGAGAATATTAGACATAATTTAGAAAAACTTACTTGTTCTAACATCTGAACGCTCCCAAAAATACGAACCCGGTTAATCGCCGTATATTTTTATGCTGTAGGATACCTGCAATTATAATTAATTATATTAAGTAATTATATATCTATACCTGCAATTTACATGAAAAATTGTTTTAAAACTGCCACTAGGTTTAGACATAGTGATTACACATATACGAGTGATAACTTAAGTGATTGATATATACAAGCTAAATTATGGCTAAACCCCTGGATGCGCATATCTGAAGATTAATTCTATCTTGGCACTGAAGAGAATTATCAGTACTAATCAGAAGTCTATTGCTACGTACATTTGAGGTTAAAAAATTAATGAACAACTCGAAAATTCTGTTGAAATCAGAGTAAATAAAACAATCTCAAAGCACTTTTTAAGGCTTTTGAAAGTACAATAATCTC